TCTTTTTAATTTGCTTCTACGCAGAGATTTAAGTAGTTTAAATTAAAAAGTGCTTTATGTTGAAAAAAATCTCCGCGCGAAAGAGCAAACCCTGACATACTCTATTCAAAGCAAATGATCATGCTTCTATTCAAAAGACAAATTTTGCGTGACGTACTTTAATATGAAAAAATTACTTTTAAGAATTGCCAAAAAAAAAAGCTAAATTAGAAAAATAGTAAATAAACAACTAAAAAAAAAAACTAATCGCGAAGGTGTAAAAAGCAATCGCGATACGCTTAATTCGAGGGACGTGGTGGGAGTCGAACTATAAGTAATATAGCGATTTATGTTCAATGAAAATTTCTGAAGAAGAGAGCTAATAATCTTTTATTTCTAAATTATTATTTAAATTCTGTTTGACGTCTTTAATTGACAAACCCTTACACCATCACGTAATAAACTGTGTCATCAAAAGAAATGTTTTAAAAATAGAAAAATAAAAAAGGTTTTGAAAACAAAAGGTCGTAAATTTTATATTTCATATTGTGAGTTAAATTTTATATTAATATTAACTTTCTTTATACATAATTGCATAACGAAATAAAGTTACAATTAGTTGCCTCAGCAAAAACAACAATAAATGTCATTTAATTACAAATGAATTACAAAAGATTGCTTGTGATTGCACGCTATCGTGGCAACCAAGAATACCGAAAATTATTTTTTCATGCATAGTCATAAAATGTTATTATTATATATGGCTTGTTGTTATTAATGACTATGGTTCATAGAAACATTTAAATTTGCTTTCATGTCCTAAATTCAAGCAGGCAGTGAATCTTTTCTTGTTTTTAAATTAGTACTAGTTTGTTGTAATAAAAAAAAACATTCTTGTTATTAAAGGTATTTAATTTACATTTTAATATTTACATTACATTTTACATATTTAATTAACTTTTAAATAAATGCAACCAGTAAAGGAATAAATTTCTGGAACCAGTTTATTATAATGAAAAAAACATTTAACTTATTTAACTTTTCAGCCAAAAAGGGCTAAACTTTTAAATAAATAGCATTTGCGGGTGTCAAACCAAACAAATTTGTAATTTTTTGTCAAACCAAACAAATTTGTAATTTTTTGAATTCTACTTTATTTCTTGCTAACTTTTTTTTGATAATATTTGCTGTTGTTGGAACACATTGCAAAAAATTGTTTGCAAATTTTGAGAAATAATTTTTTTTCCTGAGCAATTTTAGGGATTTTCAGAAAATCTAAGTTTTCAAAAAAAAATTTTCCAAGACACATTTTAGCAGTTATGCAAGCACATAGTTATACCGATAACAACAATTTTATTTAAGTTTCAAACAATAATTTATAATTTTTTATATTATTTTTCTATTAGTTTTTAATAGTAATTAATTTATAATAATTTTTAGAATTATTATTAAACTTTAATTAGGCAAACTTTATTTGGAGAATGGAATTTTTTCACTTTTTAATTGGGAATTTTAATTTTATGAGCATTTGTGAATACCGCATTTGACGGGGCCCCACAGGGCTAGTTTACACCCTGATTTATAGGTTTTCAGCGGAAATGATTGGCGATCTGACTCATGATCAATCAATATTTAGTTGCAAAGCTTGATCACAGCTTTATAGACATTTGATAATGTTATCAAACATCCGATAAGCCTTTGCCAAATTGTTGCAATTCAATATTAAATGCTTGGTCAGGCATAATGTCAGATTGCCCGCCATTCCTGCTAAGGCCTATATATATATATATATATATATATATATATATATATATATATATATATATATATATATATATATATATATATATATATATATATATATATATATATATATATATATATATATATATATATATATATATATATATATATATATATATATAAAGAGAGAGAGAGAGAGAGAGAGTTGCAAAAAAACGCGTTTTTTTCCTTTGGCGTTTTTTTGGGTCAAAAAAAACGTGTTTTTTTGGGTTTTTTGACGTTTTTTTGGTTTTTTTGGTGTTTTTTTGATTTTTTTGGTGTTGTATTGCTTTTTTTAAACAATTTTTCAGTTTTTTTTTTTACATAAATTTAGGACTAGTTTTCCTTTAATCTAGTATAAATTTTAGTATTTGGCCATTAAAGGCACAATTAGATGTATAAACACCAGTTTAACAAAAAAAATTTATAAAAAATTTAAATTAGCTTTAAGTTAGTTATATATTTAGGTATACTGTATGAAAATGTTTATTTTCTGTTTTATTGTACTAACAACTGTGATACTCTCATTATATATAAAAACTATTCTTATTCTATAAAAAAGTTACCATTTTAATTTTGATAATGTAAATACATTAATGTATAACACCATGCAAATTTGATATCAGACTTAAAATGCTCAAAAAAATAAGCTATCTATCAAGATTATTAACTTAATTAAGCATTTGTATATTATGTAGTAATTAAGTCTTACATTGTTTGTTTGTTATATCAAAAAAAGAGTTATTGCTAGTATGCCCATTAAAAAAAAGCCCTATACTGAACTTAGTTTCAAGGAAAATTTAAAAACTTTTTAATTATTATTTACGGAGTTTCCCAGACCCCATTCACCTGATGATTCATAATTTATTTATTTGTAATTAATTTTTTAACAGCATTTTTTTTTTCTAATTACATTTATTCATCTAAATATTTTCATATAGCACTATATCAGAACACTTGCAAAATTCTTTAATATGCTCTGTTTTTTAAGTTCAATTTTTAGACATAATCTTATGGCAAAAGAATTGTTTATCTTTTTCCATTTTACTAATTTAGTTCAGAGGTTTAAATAAATGGGTGACTAAGGCTTTATTTCTGCCCCCTGTATGGAGAGCCTAATCATAATTCTTTTTGTTCTTCCTGTTGATTACCAACAAGAAAAAAAAATTTACTTAATAATTTAAAGATATCCATTTCTCTTTATATATATATATATATATATATATATATATATATATATATATATATATATATATATATATATATATATATATATATATATATATATATATATATATATATATATATATATATATATATATATATAATTTCTCTTTATTTGAGTAATAAGTTGACTTTTTTTAATGTAAACATTTTAGAGACCATTTAAACAATATTAGGGACCTGTTGAATAGAAAATGAGCTTAAGTATGAACTAAATATTGAACAATTAAACTTTAATTAGACTTGAAACTTCAAATTGTGTATCTGGGATTATTAAATCATTTCTTTCTAACTGCTTTATTATAATCATCATCAAATGCCTACTTATTTATTTCCAGTAACTTCTGGGGTTAGTCTCAAGGTTCTATTCTTGGTCTGTTTTGTTTCTTATCTACATTATTGATCTTCCTGACAACCCTACATCTATAGTAGCTCTTTTTGCTGATGACTAAAGTTTTTACTCTTGTCTTGACAAAAAGTCTTCTCTTTTTGATCACTTAGAATAGGCAGCCAATTTTGTATCTGATCTTATTTCTGTAACAGATTGGGGCTCACATATTTTAGCTTATAAATTTTATTTATAACTAAACTCAGTTATTTACTGCAAACAACTACCACAATACTGTTGACATTCCTATATTAATTAATGGTAACCCTCTTACTTAGTCTTCTTTTTTACATCTTCTTGGAATATTATTTGCTACTAACCTTTCATGTACACAAAATATACAATTGATTGCTAAATTAGCATCCCTTTATCATTATCGTTGTTTTCTTGATTCCATTTTCTACCTCTACAAATATCTTTTTGTCCCTGTATGGAATGTTGTTGTCATATTTGGGCTGGTTCTTCTTATGATGCCCTTTTTCTTATAAACAAGCTCTATCTGCTAAGCTTGAGCCTCTTTCCCATTGTCGTAAAGTTGCATCTCTTTCTCTTTTCTACAAATTCTATCATGGCGGCTGCTCAAAATAGTTATTACCTCTAGTTCCATTAACAAAAACTCATTCTCGACTCTTTATTATGCTAAGTCTCATTCATTAGTTGTTAAATTTTATTAAATATAATAAATGTAAATAAATGTTTATTGTGTCAATATACACTAAAAACAGTAAAGATAAAGTTGAGGAAGATAAAATTATCAAAGAAGTTTTTATACAAGACTGCTTCAACCGTGATAACCTTTAACCGTGTTAATATACCAAAACAAAAATTAATTCAGTAAATTTCAGTATTTATTGTCCTATTTAAATCAGAAATTAAAATATGAATTAAGATATTGCCATTAAAGTTAAATTTAGTAACTTAAACAATGAATTTTTGATTATTTCCCAAAAAAACCAAAAAAACGGACCCCTATGTTTTTTTTCCAAAAAAACGACCAAAAAAACCAAAAAAACAAGAACCAAAAAAACGCGTCACATCTCTCTCTCTCTCTATATATATATATATATATATATATATATATATATATATATATATATATATATATATATATATATATATATATATATATATATATATATATATATATATATATATATATATATATATATATATATATATAAACATCTTATATATATATATATATATAAAAGCCTCGGTGGGAGTAAATGAGTGCAAGAGCAGAGAAAAGCTAAAACGAAAATGGTGAGCTATGCAAGCTGCTCCTCTGAACAGCTTCTTACTAGAGCTTTTGGTTTTTGAACACACACACACACATATTGAAGATGCTAACTTAAATTTAAACATATTAAAATAAATGAGAAAAAATTTTTTTTTGCCATTATTATATACTTTTATTGTGTGAAATATATTTTTATAAATTATTAGACTTTTTTTCTACAAATATAATGTATATGTATTCAATAGAGTGAGTCAACCTTGTTGATGTCGATTCAACAAGATTAATAATTATGATGATACTAGGTTAGACAGTAGTTATAGTATGAAAGTAAATAATTAAAACGATTTTAATAAACTAGGATACTTATATATAAAAGTTTTTTGTTAGGAATCTACTGATGATTTTGAATTTGAAGATAAACATGCTGTTATAAATGAATGCAAAGAAAAGATGAGCAGTAAAGATTTCATCATGGAGCCTGCAGTTTCTTTTTATATAAAAAAGTAAGTTTTGGGTTTTTTAATGGCTACACACACCATAAAGTTTGTTATGGCTATGTTTTTCAAATTATTTAAATATGGAAATACCAAGTTTGATACCTGTTATCTTCTTGGTGTGTCCACTGTCAATATCATTAAGATATTATTCATTGATAAAAACTATGGGTAAAATTAATGAAAAATAAGAAACAAAACCACGACTCTTTCTTCAGTTTAAAGAAAGATTTACATATAGTCTGTGATTTTTAGTTCTCAGTAAAATACTGAGAAAATGATTTACTTTAACAGCAAAAATTAATAAACAACAAAAAAAAAATTCTTCTAACAGTTTGCACAACAATAAGAAATCACAGTTGTCCAAAAAGGGGTCCTAACCTTGTTGGAAATGACCCTTGGAAGGTGATTCTGTAGGTTATGGTGATCATTTTGAAACAAAAATTAAAATTCTTTAATTACATCCGCAGGACAAAGTTGCATTTAAAGTTTTTGCCTAATTTGCACTAAGAAACTTAATTTTCAAAATGCGTTTCCACTCTTAAAAGTCACTTAAAAAAACCTTTTGTTTGTCAGTACTTGCGAAAAAACATCCACACTTTTATACTAAAGGTCAAAGCAGAAAAATGTACAGAAACTTGCTGTAAAGAACCATTAGTGTGCTGAACAAATAGCAGCTAATTTAATATCTCAAAAAGATGCCTCTCCATGAGGTACTGTCAAACTTAGTTAAGCAAGTGGAGCTAAATTTTTAAAAGTTCTGCCAGGACATTCAACGAAGTACAAGCAGCAACTATTTACTACTGAAACATTGGTCCATGTTCAAAACAGTACAATGTTGGTGTGAAAAGGCTTGCATCAGTTCTTAATAACTCAATAGAAAAAAAGGCCTGTAGAAGAAAATATGAAGCAAAAACTTGACAACCTTTTACAGCCATGCTGAACTTGATTTTAGTTTGATGAAACGACATAGGGTAGTGTCATACCTTTTTGGATTTGTTACAACCATACCAGTTAGTGTGAAAAATCATAAAACTAGTCTTTGAAAAATATTTGGATTTAAACAGGTTCCCCTCTGGCTGATCCTGAGACCCAACAGAGGGGGGCAAACAGCTTTATATTTTGTTAAATAATATTTCGAGGGGCACCAAAGTTCATCACCTATTTTGATGTATATAATTATATATCTATTTTGATGAATACATCATTGATGTATACAATCATATATGACTATATATCCCTGTGTACATAATCATTATGAAACTTTATAAATAATTTTATAAATAATGAATGTTTTATTTAATATTCTGAAACAACCAAAGTAAATTATCAAAAATAACTTAATTAATCTGTCAAATATGTTTACATTGAAAAATACAAAAAAAGGCATACATTATATTGTACAATGGTTTTATACTAAGCATTAGTTTTATACTGAACAATAGTTTTATATTTATATCATACTTTTATAAAAAACAGACCGCAACTCATCATTAACACATGTGTAACCAAACTTCAAATATTTAATAAATATTTTCTGAAAATAATGTTATTTTTTCCTTTTAATTTTAAGAAGTAAAAAGGTGCTTGGCATTAGCGCCCCTCAGACTGTTTTTAAGACCCATCTGAGGGGGTATATAACAACTAGTCATATTTTCTGACAAAGCTTGCACCCCTGTGATGGGTCTTGAGATCAGTCAGAAGGGCACCAAAAGTCCGGGACCTATTTAGCCCCCTGTATAAACCCAAATATTTTTTAAAGAGTAGTTTTATGATTTTTCATACTAACTTTTCCTGACTGGTATAGTTCTAACAATTCTAAAAAGGTATGACACAACCCTATGTCATTTCATCAAACTAAAATCTGGTTCAGCATGGTTGTGCTCTGGAAAAAGTTAGCAGATTTTTTCATGATTTCAAATGTTGTAATAATGGACAAAGAAATGAAAAACCAAGTTCAAAAAGTTGTTCACTGTAAAAACTTAAATGCTTTAATCCATATTCTCTCAGTAAGAGGGCGTACATCATATCATTTAATTAAACTTGGAATTGATGGAGGTGGTTCATTTTTTAAAATTACACATTTTGACGCATATTTTAAACAAAGTTATACTCAAGGATCATCATGTCTCCAATTAAGTTCTTCTGCCCAGGTTGGTGGTGTAAAAAAATAGCTGATTGTTGCTAAAGCAAAAGGTATTTCTGAAACATATAAAAACCTTAGGACAATATTAGGCCTCATACAACTTGAAGATGTGTCTTAAATAATTTTGTGTGACATAAAAGTAGAGACTGGATACCACATTTTATGTGGTATCCAGTTTCACTCTAGCAAACACTCATGTTGCTGGTGCAACATGAGTGTTTGCTAGAGTGAAAATCTGAGCTTATTCTTGATGTAATTCCTCCAATTGAACTCCATCTTTTTCTTGGAATCTTCAACCATATTTTCAAGCAACTCCTTGAAATATGGTCTGAAGCACAAGAATGGCTAAATCTCTTGCACTTTCAAATGCAAGCATACCATGGGGGACAGTTCAATGGAAATAAATGCAACAAATTGTTGAAGAATGTTGACATTTGAGTCTCACCCAAAAGCATTGTCCATTGCAAACAATCCTTTTGTTGATTTCTTTAGAAAGCTTCATTCTGTTAAAAAAAGCTTGTTTTGGAAAGATCTTAGAGGCAGGATTCGTTCAAAATATTTCAGAATTTAAGCATTCTTACTTAGCTCTTGGAATTTTAGTTACTCCCAAAGCACATGCAATTATTCATCATAAAAGGAATTTGCTGAAAAAATGAAACTGGGCTTGGAGTTTTCAGTGAGCAAACCACTGAATCAATGCATGTCAAATTCAAGATCCACTGGTAAAGGTTTAAAAGGCAACCTGAATATGGGGACAAACTTTTGAGTTGTGTTATTGATCTTAACAGCAAACACATTTGAAATTAAATTGTTTTTGATTAAAAACTCTTAGTATATTTTTGTGCGTGTAATGACTTATTTTTGTCAGAAGATCTGCAGTCTTAAATTTGTATTGATTTAAGCTACTTTGTAATTCAGTGTATATATATTTAGAAATATATGCATAGTTTTTTGAAAAAAGTTGTTTTAAATAATTTTAATAATATTAAAATTTTAATGCTTAAGATTAAAATTTTAATATCAATTTCTTTTGATTTTTTGTCTTTCTAAAAAATCAGAAGAAATTTGATATCTATATTGTATATTGATATACTAGTATTGGAATGTATATACAAATATTCTTTATTAAAACATTATTTTGAAACTATAGGATATTAGTAATATTTGTAAAATTTAAGGCAAAAAAAAAGTTTTTTTTTGAATTTTTGATTATGCAAACAAATAAATTTTTGTAAATAAAGGTTTTTGGTGTATTTAGGTAAAACTTTTCTCCTGCAGACGTAATTAAAAGATTTTAATTTTTTATTTAAAATGATTCCTATTACCTATAGAATGACCCCTCCAAGTGATATTTTGGGTCATTTCTGAAGAGGTTAGGACCCTTTTTTGGACAACTGTGAAATATAAAAAACATCGTTGTTATTAGACTATTAACACGCTAATGATGAAATTTTTTTTCATTACTTTGGCCTAACTTCTATGCTATTTAGTATGCTGATTTTGAAAATAAATATAAAAAGATGTATGACCACCACAAACCCCCACTGCCACAAATATTTCACATTTTTGTAACAATATTCATTCAAAATGTGAAAGTTTTATTTTTAATCATTCAAATATTATTAGGTTACATATAAACTCTAATAATATTAAGTTTGCAATAAAATAAATTGTTGTTTGGTTGGTAATACTGATAAATAACTCAGCTATTTGTTTTCTTCTAAGTAATACATTGCAGTGTTTAGACTATATAATATTTAGTATAAATTTTTAATATTAATATTATATAATATTCTATTTATATTGTTATTTATTTATATTATTATTTATTTATATAATATTTAGTATAAATTTTTAATATTATTATTATATAATATTTAGTATAAATTTTTAATATTAATATTATATAGTTGTTACGAAGGTTACTAACTATTCAAGCGGAACACTTGGGTTAGGTGAACCGTAAAGAAGATTTAACATAAACAATATAAACTAAACAATTCGTTCAAGAACCAAAATGCGTCTAGCGTCTGGGAAAATCATATAAAAACGCAGAGAGAGAGAAATAGGGATAATTAGAGAAGAACAAAAAGAAGAAAGAAATATATGGATAATTAGAGAAGGACGAAAAGAAGAGAGAAATATGTGGATAATTAGAGAAGGACGAAAAGAAGAGAGAAATATGTGGATAATTAGAGAAGAACGAGAAGATAGTTGGTTGAAGACAATGAGTACAATGAGCAGTTTAATAGAAGTTACTGGTCGTTTATAAGTTGGACAATACTTGGGTGTTATCGACTAATACTACTCGTTTTAACTATATTGTAAAAATTATTTTGTAATTATTTTAGTTTTATATAAACAATTGAGTAACGTTTATGTTATTGTGTAATATATCGTGTAACATTTTGGAGGCACTGCCCGGATACAAGTGGATTTCATCTCTGCTTGGGCCGATCATTTTTACCTGCGTAAGTTGAGATTCACTTTGATATTTTGTTTTTACACACGACTGATTATTTGAACGGAACCGCACCTAATATTACTAACTGTAGTAACTTTCTTGTTCACTTATGAGCCAACTACACTCTGGGAAATGATGCCTGTTTAATAAACCAACTTGTCGTTCAGAAGAAGCCACTAACTCTACCATCTCTCTCAATGACTCCTCCGGATCTGCCGACTCATTAGAATTATCCAATACCAATCCATTTAAACAGAACAACAGCCCTTTTCCTAAGAAAAGTACTAATATGTCCCTGGAACAAATTCTAGATTGCTTGGCAACAAAACCTATTCAGGAGTTGCAACCTAAACCATTCAAAGGTATGGAGATGGAGGATATCACTGAATGGCTGACCAATTTCTATCGAATTGCACTTCACAACCAATGGACAGATGCGAGGAAGCTAATTGCACTTCCACTATATTTAGAAGTCAGTGTTTTAGTGCACTACGAAACCCTTCCTGATCACATTAAGAATGACTTTCTCCAACTTCGAGAACAATTACGACAACATTACGATAATGCGAATATTGCATGGAACCGAAAAATGGAATTATTTGGCTTAACGCAAGACACCGATCTTACCTCCTATGTTAACACTCTAGATTAACTGAGTCAACAGCTTGGCATAGATGGCGAAACTAAACTAAATTTGTTTATTAAAGGATTGAAACCCCACCTACGCGATGCCTTAAAACTCAAGCAACCTGTCAACTATCAAGCAGCAGTGGCATTTGTTAAATTGCAAGACACAATTGCATCAGATTCACTCATTTCCCGATTGGAAGCTAAGCTAGATGCACTTCTTAATCACCCAAAACAAACAATTGTGGCTTCTGCCTACCGCGAGCATCCAAACTTAAACCAACGTATTAGTGAACTACAATCAGAAATAGACTTATTAAGGCGGAACAATAACCGTTTCTCCCAGCACGAAAGATTTCCTCCAACTGGCCGCAACTTACGTAGCAGAATGGGCAAGTCTGCTGATTATTTGAGTTTAACATGAAAATTGTATAAAAACGTGGAGAGAGAGAAATAGGGATAATTAGAGAAGGACAAAAAGAAGAGAGAAATATATGGATAATTAGAGAAGGACGAAAAGAAGAGAGAAATATATGGATAATTAGAGAAGGACGAAAAGAAGAGAGAAATATATGGATAATTAGAGAAGAACAAGAATATAGTTGGTTGAAGACGAGAGTACAATGGTCGTTTATAAGTTGGACAATACTTGGGTGTTGGCGACTAATACTACTCGTTTTAGCTATATTGTAACAATTATTTTGTAATTATTTTAGTTTTATATAAACAATTAAGTAACTTTGTTATTGCGTAATATATCGTGTAACATAATATTTAGTATAAGTTTTTATTATTAATATTATATAGTATTAAGTATAAATTTTTAGGAAGTAGTATTAAATACTTAAATAATTAAAGGGCAAAAAAAAAATTATTTAAATAATTTTTTTTTTTAATGTTTAATCTCCAAAATTAAGAAAGTAGTTGTCTATTCTAACCATTAATTGATTGGCTGGTAAAACAAGAAAATCACAAAGGAAAGAGTTGATGGGCTGGCAAAGGAAAAAAAAAAATCAATAACTAAGAGCATTTTTTTTCAGCCGTAAAAATATTTGCAAAATATTAAGAATTATAAAGAATTTTATGCTATAAATGATCGAAAAATCTGTGCAACACCTTGTTATGAAATTATAAAAATATTGCAAATAAATCAATTTACTTCTAACTGGTCTAATCAATTTGCTTTCTATCTAATATGTATTGATTGACAATGATGCCAACTATTATGACAAAGCAAATGATTTGACCTGTTATTTTGCCACATAAAAAAGTATAATGAACACTAGACCAATAAGAATAGGTATCAAGTGATGGTAAATATGTGTTATGCGCTGAGTAATTACTCTATGCTAAATCACAGATTGACACAAGGTACAACTGGTACCATAAGGCAAAAATCCAGCAAATTGAAGCTTGTTCTATTGAGGTTTTTTCGTATTTACAGAGGAAATTGTGTCAAAGATCTAGATGTCATTTAATTTCTGTACAGAAAGTTTTTGTGCAAAAGTTATTAGCATGCAACAATAGTACAAATGACTTTTTTATTTTAAGTTTAACAATTTTAGTACTTAAATAAATATTTATATGTAAATATATTATAAATGTTATAAAAAAATATTATATAGCCTCTTTGACATCACTCTTCTAGGGTGAGAGTATTTTTATAGTGTGTGAGAGATTTTAGGGTTTTAGGATATTTTAGGGATTTTAACTTGTGCATTACACTTTACATGAAGTTTTTGAATCACAATATATTTTGTGTGTTGTTTGCATGGCAGCATATTTTGTGTGGTGTTTGCATGACAGCATATTTTGTGTGTGTTGTGTTTATATAACAATCCATTTTATTGTTGGTGATATTCATTTTTTCAGGTGTGGTTAACTATATTTTACTTTTCTTTGAAGATTTCTTGATGCAGGAGGTTGCCAAGATGATTTTATAAATTTGCTAGCTGAAAATTACCATGGAACTGCACAAATTGCCAATCTGTTAGCTGATTGGCTCATCGTTGCTGGTATGTTTTTATGCAGTTCTTTAATATTAGTTTTTTTTCATAATTATAAATGTATAAGTTTATTTATAGAAGCACTACAAACGCATAAGCTATCATGTGTGATTTATAAAATTATGGAACTTGCATTTTTAATTTGTTTAATTTTTAGATGTTTTTTAACATATTGGTTTTAATTAGGTTCTTTTTTCAAGCTGACCTATTTAATAATTTTTTGCTGTTCCATACAGAGTTAACTCTTCTGTAGCTTGTTGTTCAGGCATTCTTATCACATTCCTAGAAAAGTGCTCTCCAGAACACTTTTGTAAGAACACAAGTGTTCTTTTCATTTTTGTAAGAACACAAGTGTGTTATCCATTTTTTTTAGAACGCAAATGTTCTTTTCATTTTTGTAAGAACACAAGTGTTCTCTTCATTTTTGTCAGAACACAAGTGTAGTCCATTCTACTGCTGACTACTTGATTTTTTTTTAGACAAGGAAATGTTGTTCACATATACATTGTTTATAGAGAAGAGTCAAGTTGTTAACAACATCCATTGCTTTTTTTTTTTTTTTAATTATTATGCAGAACCTCATTCTTTAACAAAAAATAATAAAATTAATAACCTCATTCTTTAACAAAAAATAATAAAATTAATAACCTCATTCTTTAACAAAAAATAATAAAATCATTTCATTAATCTCAATCATATGAAAATGTTTTAAAAAATTTTTATCAGGTGCATCTGTAGAAGAAGTCCAAGAGATTGTTGAAACACATTTACGAGAGCTTATTGTAAAGACATTTGACCCTAAAAAGGCTGATTCAATTTTTTCAGGACAAGTATTATTCTATATTATTATTCTATTATTATTATTTATTTATTGGTTATTCTGTTTTTAGATTATTACTATTATTCTATTCTCATTATTTGTTTTTATGATTAATATAATTTTAGCCCCCTGGGTGGATTGAAGAAATGATTGCATACCCTCCATGGAGAGCAATGTTTTATGAGTTGGCAGATAAACATCCTGACTGTTTAATGCTTATTTTTACCATTAAGGTGATCTTTTTTTCATTGTTGAAATTTTTTTGTTTTTATTTCAAGTTAATTAATGAGATAAAAAACTTTCAGCTTATAGCAGATTCTGGTTACCAAGCTGAGATTGGCTCTGTTTCGTCTGCATGTACTCAGTTGGAAGTGTTTTCTAAAGTACTTACCACATCCATTTTGAATTATTTTAAGCAAGGCGCTTCTAAAAATGATATTATGGTTTGTTAATAGTTTTTATATTTTTAATTCAAAAATATTTACTCGTTGATCCTCTTCAATGTTGTTGTGCACTTCAAACATGAAAATTTTTATTTATTTTATTTGGCAAATATTTATACAAGATAAATTACTTCAGAATTAAAAGATATTCTGTTATCAATGTAAGTCCTGGTATAAAACACAATAAAAATTATAATCAATTGAAGTAATAAGGTTATTAAAAATGTTATAAAAAGCATTCTTTAAAATAAATTTAAAAACTTTTTTTTTAAATTCAGTCAACAAGTTGATTTTTCTTTTTTTCAAGTTGTAATTGTAGATCATTATAATGGTAATAGTAAAGTTATAATGGTAGATTTTTATAATGGTAATGGTAAAGTTATAATGGTAGATTATTATAATGGTAATGGTAAAGTTATAATGGTAGATTATTATAATGGTAATGGTAAAGTTATAATGGTAGATTGTTACAGGCTCTTGCATAAGAGTAATAGAAAGTAATAGAACTTTTAGCAAATTCGAACGGAATATTATTTAGGTATCTGTTATTTCTTGTTGCTTTTGAATGGTTAACAACTTCAAAGTAGTTTGTAAAGTTTGAGCATGATAAACCAAGAAGGGATTGCTTCGTTAATAGAAAATATGCAATTTGCAAATATCTACAACACTAAACTCTCAGAGACTCTCAAAAACTGTAATTTAAAGCAAATGATTCATCACTAAGTTGTGATGCACAACAACCTTTTGATTTTTTTTTTTAAAAAGGTTGTTGTTACCCTCTGAATAGCTAATTTCACTTCACTACAGGTTCTGTTGGTCTATTTACCTTATTACTAAAAACATTTTCTTAACTTTGGTTAAGAAACATGACAATGCAAAAATTAAGTTAAATCAGATCATTCCTATTTTTAAGCAAATATTTCAATGATAACAGGAAAAAAAGTCTGTGAATTTTTTCACTGTTTCAAAAGCAAATCTTATACATTTCAAAAAGTAAATCATCTTACATCTTGTAATATAATTTTATTTTAATTCTCTTTTAATTTTAATTTTTATTCTTATTTTTTATTCTTAATTGTGTATTTTTAGCAACTATAAGGAGATTTTCATAATTAAATAATTAAACTATATGTGCTAATAACGTTGTTGTAAAATTTAATAAACTTTATTTTACAGTAGTAATTCAATAACATAGATAATTATTTAAAAATACGCAGCAAAATCTTTTTAATGACCCTCCCTCCCTCTTTGTGCGCACATGTATGCTATAAATCACTTCCCCCTCCTCCTTCTGTGTATGTACACATTTAAAGAAATGCATAAACATTTCTAAACATTAAAAACAAAAAAACTATTTCCTCTATCACTAGAAAGCATATGGTACTTGTAGTTTTTATATGTTATATGTCTCGTAGTTTTTATATGTTTTATGATCTTTTTAATAATATTTTTCTAAATTTATTGTCTGACCTAAATTACGCCACTATACTATACTCCCTCCTCCCAATTTTTTTTAGAGTTGTTATTTTATTAATATATTTATGTTATTTTAATATATTTTAATATATTTATGTTATTTTATTAATAAATTACATTGTATGATATCATTAAATATATATTATAAAATTATTTAGTTTTTTTTTTTGTTGTTGTTTGGTTTTTATTTAAATTCTATTTATTTTAATTTATATTCCATTTTTTTAAATAATTTTTTTATAGAAAGTTTGCTGTCATAGCAACCAGTTGTATATATACACGCAATGTTTACTACACAGTCTTTGTGAAAAGTTTGAGCCAGAACAGCAACGTATATGGATCAAGCGGCTTATCCAAAATCTTGAAATTGGTGCTAGAAGCAGGTTCAGTTTACAAATGATATAAACATAAAGTTCATTAGTTTTATTTTTTGTTGTTAGTAATATTTCTTTTAGTGGAAACAACATATGGCATTTAGTTTTAATTTTCATGGGATGTGGAAAATATCCCCGTATTTTTTATTCCCTTTTATCATTGTTGGGAAGAAAAGCTTTGAATCCTGGTGACATTACTGTGGTAATTTTATTTTTTATTTTTATGACTTTTTATTTTTTAAATAAGTGCACTACTAAATACTTACTCAGTTATTCTTTTTTTTATTTTTATCAGTTTTTTAACTTTTTATAGTTATACAAAACATATAGTGCTCCTGAACCACCTCCTGTAAAATTTTTGCAAATTCCAGCTCTAATAGGTAACCATTTAATATGTATGTATGTATGTATGTATGTATGTATGTATGTATGTATGTATGTATGTATGTATGTATGTATGTATGTATGTATGTATGTATGTATGTATGTATGTATGTGTGTATGTGTGTATATATGTGTGTGTGTGTATGTGTTTGTATGTATTTGTGTGTTTATGTGTTATGTGTTGATTTTTTGTCATCAAGAATATATTTTACTTTTAAAATTTGCTTTTGAGTTAAAACAGAAAAAAGTTTTTGTTAAAATTAATATTTTCTATGGTTTTTAATTTTTTAAACTTCTAAAATTTTATTTTGCACTGCTTCATCCTAAAATTAACCAAACATTTTTTTTATGTAACATGTAATAAAGTATATCAAAATATTTTAATTGTTTTACCTTTGTAAGTATCTGAAAATAGTAAAAACATAACTTGATTTCTTGCTCAGCATTATGCATTATTTAACATTATGCATGCAACATTATGCATGCAACATTATTTCTTGCTCATTAGTAGCTTTGATTGTTTTAACAAAAGATTTCATTTTTTTAACAAAAAGTTTTTTTTTAAATAGTTTCCATCTTCCTCCTATTCTGAAGGAAGAAGTTTTGTTTATTTATAATAATCGTTTAAGTTATGAAAGAGCAACCAAGATCGTTTCCCTGAGCTGAAAAAAATTTAATTCTGCTGTATCTGAATCAAGTAAATTTTTTAAAGATAAACATCTTTGGTGCGTACAATAATGGGGCATCCATGTAGCATGATGTTTCTTCTGCTTTCATTTTAAGGAAAGCATTTTTAAGATATAGAGACCTATTTAGATTTTTTGAGTGGCACCATCTCTTAACAAATCTATTCTTTTTGCAAACCTTTAAAATCTATCTTTTTTAAACAGAGACTCCCAAAAAGCTCCCAGGATCAATTCCAAAATATGATGGCGACAAGCCAGCCTAAGTATAATTTTTATTTATTTGCATTCCTCTAGAAGTGTTGCAGCTCCATCCTTTATTCCTGTGTTATAAGCAGTCGTTTTAAAAACCTGGTTAACTCCCTTACAGATAGCAAGTCCTTTATCAGACTGTAGATTTTATTATTATTAATAGGTTCATTGGCAAGAGATACTTCAGCTAAATCACTGCTATAATCAACTAACTGAATATTTTCCTCATCATTAAATTTTCTTTTTATTTCTTTATCAATTACCATCTGTTTTTTTTTTCCAATCTTGCTTTTTTTCTCCTTACACAAGGAGTCTATTACGGTATCTTTTGCACCGATTTCTCCAGTTTTTATTCCATTTTTCAGAGCTGTAAACCATCTGCATCTTTAACTTGTCTGGTTTTTCAATGTCTGTTAAATAAGTTAGCTTTTTTTTTTTAACACCTTCGCTTTCAACAAGGCTGCAACCAACCAAGTTTTTAACTTTTAATTAAATATTTAGAAATTTGTGTATGTATTTGTATATATATCCTCATTTTAACTTCAGAATAAAATAATGGCTCTTATTGTAAAAATGGTCAAACGTCCTTGGTTAAAATCACAAAAATGGTTGTAAATTAAAATATAAAGATTTATATTACAAACAAATAAACATTTATACATTTTATGTTCTCATATACATTTTTTCTTCGTGTAATATATCTTCAATAATTTTTTGGGTTTATTAATTTTTAATTGGTTTATTAGCAAAATAAATAAAAATTCCTGCATCAATCTGAAGCTTAGATTCTAAGCCATCATTTGGCATTTGTGTCCCATTTGCCAGTGTTCTACTTAAAAAACTAACATCATCCCTGATGTTTTGTGTCTACATTATCTAGCACTCATTTATATTTTGTAATACAAGTTTAAATTAAAATTGAATGAAAAAGGTTTATTAAAGTATTGTTGCTTATAATTTATTATTATTATTATTTTATATAGAAATGCTGATATCTGCAATATTTACTTGTGAATCAAACATGTCTGCAGAAAATAAACCAAAGTACTTTTTTTTACTGGCTTATGCTGTGTCTGTTTATGAAGTCTGGAATGAGGTATTACCAGTATCAATGTTATTAACAGAAATTTTTGATTATAAATTTTGTACAACTCTTACCTATTTTATACTAAACTGTGTTTTAATTTTAATGTTTTCATTTTATTATATTGTGTCTTGTCTTATTACAACCTTGGTTATTCAGGGCTTAATGTAATGGTCGGGCATGAGACATTTTCCGGCCATAACATTGCCCGATCGATTTAAAATGTAATCAGGCATTTTGACTGACGGGAATTGAATTCTTAAAAATAAATACTTAATTGTTAAAATAACTAAAGAATAAATAATTTCTTTCGAAAAAAAAAATGAATTTAAAATAAAACTCAAAAGACCTAAAGTGAAAATTACTGTTGTTATGTTTTTAATTGCATTTGGAAATAATTACTTCAAAACTTTTTAAAACTCCTTTGAAACATTTTATATAAAATGCTTTTACTAATTACTTCTAAGAATTGTTTAAAAAATGAAATTTGATTTAAATTATTGAAAAGTGAAATTAAATTATTGAAAAAAAATATATAATATTTTTAAGTTGTGTAAGCATTTTTTTCAAAAATTTGCAAAAAAAAATTATTTCAAAGAATAACGTAGTCTTTTAAAATCATAATTTGTAAGCATTTTTTAGTCTTTTAAAATTTTTAATCATTTTATACTTTGATTAGTCAAGTTTAAGCAATCATTATGATTAATTTTTGATTTTGCCTTTGCATAAAATAAAAACTTTAAAAAAGAACAGCAATTAAAAGTTATTCTTAACTATATATATATATATATATATATATATATATATATATATATATATATATATATATATATATAATATATATATATATATATATATATATATATATATATATATATATATATATATATATATATATATATATATATATATATATATAAATATATATATATATATATATATATACATTTATATTTATATATATATATATATATATATATTTATATATATATATATATATATATATATATATATATATATATATATATATATATTATATTATATATATATATATATAAGGCCCAGAAGGCCACTACAGACAAGGAGGCTACTTATTTTGTGGCTATAACCCTCTCTCAACTCTATAACTCCTAAACACGAACCTTGACGAACAAGGCTGTTGCGCGGAGAAGCGAGTTGAGCGCAGTACTACCAGGGACGTGGTGGGGATCGAACCCAGAACCACTTGTTTATGAAGCGAGCGCTCTACCACTACACCACTACCGCATATATACATATATATATATATATATATATATATATATATATATATATATATATATATATATATATATATATATATATATATATGTATGTATGTATTAAGGTGGTCCATAGAGCAAAAGAAAAATTTTATTTTTGAAATGTTTAGCTCTCATCCTTTTAAAATGTTCTTTTGGATAACAATAGAATCAAAAAACAAAATTTTAATCAGACATCGTTGCGATGTTGCTTAGCTCATATTTTGAGCTAAGCAACATCGCAAAAGCTTTTTATTCCAGATAGAAACTTGTACAAAATACTTGTACAAATACTTGTTTAATGTTCAAATTCTTAATACTAATGTACATGAATTGTTACAGAAAATGTTTACTGTTTGGTGTTTAATTGATAGACATTAGACAGTTTATTCTAGCAGCATGAACTTTTGACAATTTAAGTAGCCACATCTGTGATTGGCCATTACTTGGAGGAGAAATTGGAACTGGTCCTTATTTCTACAATGACAATTTCTACATATTTAGCAATTACAAAAGTAGCTTTTCAGTCACTCATTTTGGTACAATCTAATGCAGCAGCTAGCTCAGGTGTTATTACTTTTGTGGTTGCTCTCATTCTTTTTCTTGGTGGAGTTTTCTTGGAGAACCAATCAGATTCATTATCCCAGTGTTCTTCTCACCACTGATATTTTCTTCTTCCAACACTGCACTGGTTGATGCCTTTTCCAGTTGGTTTTTTGCTCATTCTTGTCTTGCATTTTCCAGCTTAATGTGCTTTGTCTTATACTCTTTCTTTGCTGCCATTGCTGTTTTAATTCATCCCATATATCCTCATTGACCAGGTTCCAGTTGCTGTTTCCAACTCCAGATCTTCTGGAATTTTGATCACAGTGACAGCATTAGCATGAGCAATATTGAAGAAATTGTTTATCTTGGCACAAAATTGATTTTCATTTGATGTATGTGATTCCAATTGGCATGTTTTGTACTATTTATACAGTAGCTCAAGTTTAACAATGGCATGTTCTTTTCAACAAGTTGGAATATGAGCTATGTTCCAGACTTCAGTCACCTCTTCAATAACATACATTGATTCTTGGCATGTTGGAAGTCTGAGACTGTCATCACTGAGAGGTGATGACAAAAAGGCCTTTATCGTTAGAAGAAAGGCAGATAGTAAATATCGATTTTATACAAATAAGTGTAGTTCAAAAAAATGCAACAATACCTTATAGCCCGATATAACCTTATATACATTATATACATTTTTTGCAAAAAATGTTCAGTTGTTCAATAATGCTCATGAAATATCAAAATGAATATAAATTGGTGTAAATACTTAAATTGCTTTCAATCTCATTTATCACTTATCTTGTAGTTGTTACTTTAGTTACTGTGTACAATTATTTCTTCCCTGTGATGTAGTTATTGTGTACATTTATTTCTTCCCTGTATTGTAGTTACTGTGTACAATTACTTTTTCCCTGTATTGTAGTTACTGTGTACAATTATTTCTTCCCTGTATCGTAGTTACTGTGTACATTTATTTCTTCCCTGTATTGTAGTTACTGTGTACAATTATTTCTTCTCTGTGATGTAGTTATTGTGTACATTTATTTCTTCCCTGTATTGTAGTTACTATGTACAATTATTTTTTCCCTGTATTGTAGTTACTGTGTACAATTATTTCTTCCCTGTGATGTAGTTACTGTGTACAATTATTTCTTCCCTGTATTGTAGTTGCTGTGTACAATTATTTTTTCACTGTATTGTAGTTACTGTGTACAATTATTTCTTCCCTGTATTGTAGTTACTGTACAGTTATAGATAGTTAATAGATTTTGAATAATTATCTTGCAATTCACATATTTCTTATAAATATAATGTTTTTTGCTTCAAAGAATATTTAATTACTTGATTGATAGATGGTGGGTATTGCTAAAAATCTGAAATGACCAAAATGTCAGTTTTTCATTAATTGAATTTTTTGTGTTAAACAATATCATAAAATTAATAATTTTACACAACACATGTATCTTATCATATAAACAGAAAGTTCCATGGAGATTGAGGTTTATATTCCAAATTTTAATTTTTTAAGAACCACCCTAATCCTAATCATACTAATATATATATATATATATATATATATATATATATATATATATATATATATATATATATATATATATATATATATATATATATATATTTCTGATGTTTATATTTTCTGATTTCTGATGAGTCTTTATTGATGAAACACAGTGTTAAATGAAAAAAATTTTTGCTAAAGGATTTTCTATTACTATATATATATATATATATATATATATATATATATATATATATATATATATATATATATATATATATATATATATATATATATATATATATATATATATATATATATATATATATATATATATATATATTAGGGTGCAGTGAAAATCTTTTTTTTTTTCAATTAATTTTGCCTGGGTGTGCAAAAGTTGTCTATTCATATCAGATATACTCTGTAAAAATTGCAATGCTCTAGGAAATTATCTTGATGTGCCCCAAGGACTTTGAAATCCCCCAAAATCCCCAAAAAGTGACCTACGGAAAAAATTTAGAAATTTTTTTTTTGTTTGATATTCATTTTGCCTGGTTGTGCAAAAGTTCTCTATTCATATCAGAAATACTCTGCATAAATTGCAATGCTCTATGA